TAGTGAGGCGGTAAGGACGTGGGGACAAGTTTGTGCGAAAACGGAGGGATATGAAGGTGAAAAAGAGCTGGGATCCAGGTGGAAATAGGGTCCCAGCGTTCTCACACCCCTCGCTTTTCTCTCCTGTCTGCGGCACTGTCTGCGATCACATACAATTTTGGAGAGGTGCAGCAGGAAGAGGCGGAAGGGGCGGGGCATATCTGCGTTAACTGCGACACAAGCAGACAACCGGGTTTCTAAGCATAAACCAGCCTTACGGGGGGTAATTAAATCTACATTTTTTGCTTTCTGAATGGCTGTCATCTAACATAGTGTGACATCAACTCTTTCTAATAAAATCCATTAAACATTGTTAATGGGAGGACATCTGGGGTGAAATGTAATTGCCATTGCTTATTGCCTTATATTCCTTACTTAAAGGTATAGTGGAAGATCTTCTTTTTCCAGGTGGATCATCTAAATAAGTGGTCCTCCTAATTGTCAATCATTCGGGTGATATGTTTATGTAAGGCCGTCTTACGTGCTCGTCCCCATTTTCACTTACCAGTGGCGAGTCTGACATAGTGGAAAAAATCAAATCTTCTCTTGGAAAGTGAGCTTCTATGAGCGATGAAAACAGCAACTTTAAACAGAGAGTGCACGAGGAGAAATGGGCTGCACGCCCTCACACGTGTTTAATAGGCGTTCCGTCTGGTAGCGGGTACAGGGCTGTGCATGTGCATTTTTTTTTTTAAAGTGGAGAGGGCAGGTCTTTTATAAGATTCATGAAGAATCCTCCATTATACTGAAATTTGTTAAAACTGGTAATGAAGAAACTTCACAGAAAAAAAAAAAATTGTCATTAACTTTATAGTATAAATTCTTTCAAGAAATGTGTTTTTCTTTTGTTCTATGTTTGATATTTCTCATCCTCAGAGCATTTAATGACCTATAGAGGGATTAGGGCTGCAACTAACGATTATTTTGCAAATAGATCAATCTGTCGATTATTTTTCCAATTAATTGATTAATAATCAGATAGCCAAAGGTTTCTTAAAGTCTTTTTTTTTTTTTTTAGGAAATTAAACCAGGTTAAACTAAAACTTTTCCATTTCGGTTCTGGATAGTGCAGACTGACTATTTTTTTCCCCATCTTAAATGCAAAATATTTATACAATTTTTTTACAATTTTGATATAATTCCTGCTCTAAGTGTGTCGCTCTGTCAGCTACAGGCATGTTTTACAGTCTCTATACTCCAGTTAACGATCAATTGATTACTAAGTTGACGATTATTTCAATAATCGATTAATGATGATTAATCAGATTGTTTCAGCCCTAATAGGAATGCAAAACTTTGCATAGAAAATAATATGAAATATATGCAATATATACAATCTTACAGTATAAAGATAATGAAGTAACAGAGATGTAGAGTACAACTCTAGAGTAGAGTAGTGTCATTATGAAGTTTAAAAACTTCAACTATCCATTAGCTGATCTTTTATCAGTTATCCTTCCTTTTCCTCTTCTCTCTGAATTGTACTGAAACAGAGATTTAAGTGTGTAAAAAAGCGTGTTTGTCTGTGTGTGTGTGTGTGGGGTCTTTCCTCAGCTGCCTCAGCTCTCCATCCTGAGTTACTGAACACATGAACCAAACCAATTAGCTGCTTTTGAAGTCACAGCATCTTTTATGCAACCGTCCAATGCCGAGTTTGGAAGAAAGCAAAATGAAATGTGCTGAGTCAGCAGTCTTCTATAGGTCGAGGCTCATAAATCAATGAAAAGCCAAAAACCTGTAGAAAAAAAAAAATCTACTGTGTGTTTCTGATGCTTTCGATTGTGTATTTAATCAAAGCTGATTTTCTGAGGCTGTCGTATTTTTTCAGGAGAATATCCTCCCCGTTGGGCACGCCTTCTTCTCGTTTAAGAGCAAGGCTTTATTCCCTTTCATTCCATTTCTGATGCCGACTTGTTTTCCACAATAAAACGTAACAGACTCATGTTTAGAGACCTTCATCTCTGACTCACCTCCCTTCTCACTGAACCTGAGAGCAGACCTGGGTCTAATGTTTGTGGGTGTGAGCATTTCCTCAATGAGCTCCTCACAGACTGACTCCTGAGCACAAAGAGGAGAGTGTTTTCCATCCTGCTGCTGAGAAGTCCTTAATGACAATGTGCCATTCAAGGCAGAAACTAACTTTAGACTCCCCCTCACCCACTCAAACAGAAAACATCCAAACTTTTACCTGCAATAAAATCAGAGAGATCGGTACAGGAGAGCAACCTTCACCCTGTCTGTGTACGAAAACAGCTGAACCAAGAAATGCTGACTAACACAAAAAATGTGGATCAGGTGAAATATTTTTATAAGACATTTGAAAAAATATGTAATTTTAATGAACAATACAAGAAAATTCAAGAAGTCAAATTTTCCTTAAATTTACCATCATTCATGTAAAATGCTGACTCTCTGGCTGGTTTTATTCTTGTGCGAATTAATTGCTGTGAAAATGAATGTCTGCTGTGACAGACTGTGACTAATTTATCACTTTATGTGTTCGGGGTCTCGGTTGTGTGCTGGCTGTTGTCGCAGGATATAATTACCTCATTTCAGAGCCAACTGCACTCACACAATTTCTCCTGATTCTTCTCAAAATTGCTATATCTACAGTCCTCCCTCTACACCTTTTTAATTATCAATCATAGTGAGATAACATCACACAGCCGCTTTATTGGCTCTTTTCCTCTTTAGGAAAATATGGAAACATCAAAAACAGGAAAGCGGTTTAATAGGACTGATCATCAACAGAGACCTTTAGCGATAATACCAGTGGCTAATATACATGATGACATGTTAGAAGAAGACTCTAAACAGGTAAATAAACAATCTAAGGGCTATAACTATCATCACAAAACCTTTTCATCCATTTATAAGAAAACCCTTTTTCTCTGATAGCCATTTTTTGTTTGTGGCACCAGATCAAACACAATTAACCACTGCTCAAAGAAAAGCAATGGCATTTTATTCATTGTTTGCCCTTAGAATGATCTTATTTAATTGGATATAGGCAGCACTGCCAACTCACAAACAATGGGTAGAGGAGGTGATGGCACACCTTAAATTGGATCATCTTAGATTTACTTTCCAGGACAATACTAAGTGATATTTTAAGGTCTGACAGCCGTTTATTTCCTATTTTGAATCTGAATTTCCATCTGCTTCAACATAACTGGAGCTTTAACCCCCTCTTTTTTTTATCAGTTTGGTTATTATTGTCATTCAAATTTAGGTACATTTTGAGCCTACTATTTTGTTCTGTATGTTTTGAATGGGGTGTCTGTTATTTGAATATGGAAAAATCAATAAAAACACCTTGATTATAAATACCATCACTCCTGATCAGTTTATCAGACACGTCAAAATCCATGTTAAATCTTTCAAAGGTTCTTCATCCTTATGCATTTTAGAAGAAATCTTCAACCAGATGTGCTTTTATTTCAGCTGGTTTACAGTTACCTTTTGTCTCTCTTTTTGTATCTCTGCTTCTGTCTCCTTGAACCCCAGTCGGCCTGAACAGATGGCCGCTCACACTGAGCCTGGTTCTGCTGGAGGTTTCTTTCTGTTAAAAGGGAGTTTTTCCTCTCCACTGTCGCTACAAGCATGCTTAGTATGAGGGATTGCCTTCGATTCAATGAGTCGGTTCTATCAATTGGTTTTCCTTAGATAGAAAACTTTGAACCTATCTGACTGTATGATCTAGTAGAATTGTATCTGTAAAGTGCCTTGAGATTACATATGTTCTGAATTGGCGCAATATAAATAAACTGAAATGAATTATTTCCAGCCTTTGTTGATAAGTGAATAAAAAAAAAAAAAACACTTGATTGAAACAAAATTCCTACAGCCAGTATCACGATTTCTCTTCAGCAGATCCAACATCCAACTAAACACCAACTGCCAAAGTGACTCATGTCCCCTCCTCCATAAGAAAACACTTTTTTTCTTCTTCTCTGGAACCATCAGTTTGCATTATTCATAATCATCATCATCATATGGAAGCCCGTTTCTGCCACCTGAAAGTAAAAAAATACTAAATAGAAAGTCATAATTATGAGATTTAAAGTCATAATTATGAGATACAAAGTCAGAAATTCAACTTTCAAAGTCATAATCATGAAATACAAAGTCAGATACAAAGTTATTTCCCATAATTATGAGATTCAAATTCATAATTATGAGATAAAGTTATAATTTGGACTTTCAAAGTCATAATTTTGTCATAATTATGACTTTATCTCCTAATTCTGACTTTCTATTTGGCATTATTCTACTTGGATGTGGCGTAAACGGGCTTCCATATGATGATGACCTTGTGAGTGGGATAAATCAAAGGCCTCTCTGTCTCAGGGAGCATCTGGCTCTAAAGCCCCACCAAGGCCTCCTCTGTTCTCAGCATCCTAGATGCTAAGAGGAGGGGATGCTACAGCATCAGCATCAATAGATTTCCTTCCATCCAGAGCAGAGCTCTGATACACTGGAGGAGGGGAAAATGGGATGTTCACCACAAAACACACCTTTCTATCATGATAAACAGCATCTGGACTGACATTAATGGATATTTATCAGTGTGACAGTGGAAAAAAAGGAGCCTCCATGATGGCTGGCACCGCCTTTGCATCATCTCAGCTCCTTCAGTTTGGAGCGAAGAGAAATAAATAAATAAACTAATCTCAGTACTGGTTATTAACGAGGTGGTGATAAAGGTGGCTTTAATTGTGGACTGAGGGAAGTTTCTCCTCCTGTTAAACGCTAGAAATAAGAAAAGGAGCCTCTCAGGAACACGTTCATTCATTTGAAAGATGGTCTATGAGCTAAAAAAAAAAAAAAAAAAGGTACACTAACTGTAAGCTTGTTTACGGACAGAATGCCTCTAAATAAGAGAGGCCCGATAAAACCGTTAGACCGAGGCTAACGCCGTCGTCAGAGAAAAGGTTAATATCAAAATGCACTTGCTTTACCTTTGTGTACAGCTCCGACGCTGCCATGACGCTCAGTCAAGTTCTTCCTTCAATCTGGAATGAACCTCCCGCTGCGGCTCTCCGCTCTGCACCGGCGCTTCTTGCTCGGTTCTCATTCAGCGGAGAAATAAAAAATCCTTTTGTCGCTTCGCGTGGAGTCTGAGGGAGAAGACGTTACATCGCCATGATGAGCGGCGCGTCCTGAGGCTGGTCGTGTTTCGGCGTCTCACTGTGCATTCTGGGAATGATGATGGGAGAAGAAATTCAACCAAACCAACAAGGCTGCTGACGTCTGGGCAAACAGCGCCACCCGATGGTAAGATTCGGAATTACACCAACAGGCCAGTTTTAGTATCGATGTGTCAAAGGGGTTTTAATCGGTGGCGGCTGGCCGATAGAGGGCGCTAGGGTGCCGCCCCACCCACCCAATACCCCTAAATAAAGACATACATTTTTAATGTATATATAAAAATTAAATACTAATAAAAAAAAATTAAAACATATTAATATATAATATATATTTAGATGTTTAAAACAAATATTTAATATTTAAATTTCTAGTAAAGAGTCATTCCATTTTTCGTCCGATTGGTGACGTATATAAAAATCTTTGGCTAATGAATCTCCTTAAAAGTTGTACATGTGCACAAAAACAGCTGATTTAAGATAATTAAATCATTTAACTATCTTAAATAGTCTGTTTTTATAGGATAATTAAAAAAACGTAACAAAAACGAAAGAGAAGAAATTGAGAAGCTTTAATATGTTATGATCAGAGGTAGATAGTAACTAGTTACATTTACTCACATTTTTTAAAGGTTTCTCTTAATAAAAAAAAAAAAGTAACCAACAAAACAAAAGACAGAAGAATTTGAGGAGTTTAATATGTTACAGTCTGAGGTAGAAAGTAGCTAGTTAAATTTACTCAAATTTGAGTAACTTAAAAAAATACTTTTAGGAGTAGTTTTAAAGCATTTTACTGTTACTTGAGTAAAAGTATTTTAAGGCATCACTACTGTCAAGTTTTCTCAGATTCTCCAGCTCTTGCCCAAACTTGAAAAGGCCCACAACCAAAAGGATGCTGGGACAACTCAGCTCAGTTTGGTCTCTTTATTTGTCCTTTCCCTTGATTCACACACATCTCACAAACATGTGAGTAGGTTGATAACCTAAAAAGAAAAAATGTACCCCAAAAAGTACAATGAAATCAACAATTAGCTTTTAAAACTTAACCGTAAATTATATCAGAAAATAAATTGTATATTGCAAGCACTGCATACCATGATGCCTATAATCTCTCATATTCAAGACATACTATTGTGTCCCTTGGTTTTACTGCACAAAATATGAATCGTAAAATATTTTTTCCTGTCCATTTGAATATTCTTGTACAGTGGTGTCTTTCGTTGCAGTTGGGAGTTCTTTTCTTATTGTGCCATCCTTCTGTGAAGCCCAGGTGAGCAGGGTTATTTCTAAATTAGGTGTTTGGCTTGAGGAAGAAAATAGCCAAGGAGCGCTTGATTTTATGTTAAAAGCACTCCAGTTGGGTGACAAACAAACAAATATGCACCACTGAGAGAAATACTCCTTTTTTGTATTCAAGACTTGTGTAATTTCCATCTGTAGAGTCATTAGGAGGTTATGATACATTAAACAGTATACCGGTAGTGTATTTATCCTACACTACATACTGCAACCATTGATTTTGGATTTGCCTTGAAATTATCTGAACTTTACGGAAGAGGGTTAGAGCCACTGAAAAAAATGTAAACATGTCTGTTGTAGAGACTAAACTAGCTCTCTTGTTTTAGTCACATTCTGCTCTTCCATTAATGAAATGGAATCACCGAGGATCCCTTGGGCACATAAAAAGTCGCCTAATTCTGTCATTTCCCACTAATGTGTCACTGGCCCTCTCAAACAAGTCACACATCTCTTCCTTCATGGTGCCCAGCTACATTAAGATCCAAGATTCTGAGATTAAAGTCAGAATACTGAGAAAAAGTCAGAATTCTGATATTTTTTCCTCATATTAATCAGAAATATTAAAAAATCAGTTAGCTTTTGTTTACTTTTTCTATGGCCCTAATCCTCTTCTGTAGAACTTCCATATCAATGCTTTTTTGCACCATCTTTTTTAATCACTGCTGCACTTAATGAAAATATTAATTTAGCTTCTAAGCTGCTGCTCATCCACTGTCTGCAAGCTGTACAAAACAAATGTCATTTTGTATACACAGAGTGTATACAGTCCTCCCTTTGAAAGTGTAGGCAATAAAATACTTTTGTATGAAATTATACTGCTTTAATTTCATATAAACTGTTGGGAGAAAGTGATTATTAGATAATCCGTTACAAAAAACTAACAGAAAAAATGCCTTAGCTGTAGCTTTCATATGTAATTTACTGAGTAATCTGTAAAGTGATTGTGGGATCTCTATCATCAGTAGTCGATTTATTGAACTGTGACTTGGAAGTGTGTTCCTACACCTTAGATGCATCTCTAAGTAAAAAAAAAAATCCTACAAAATTAAGCGAGGTCCTCCGCTCTCGTGTATAGAGGCTGGGGCTGCGATGATAGCAGGAATGGACTAACTCAATTACTGCATTGTAGCTTGTTGTAACACAGAAGAGCGACCTCCTCGGGACAAGACTCTGTGGTACATCTACACCTTATGGACAAAGGACATTCTTTTGAGGACCAGAATGTTCACATCTTGGAAAAGGAAACTAGGTGGTTTTGGAGGGGCATGAAGGAAGCCATCTATGTTAAGAAAGAAAAAACAACCTTAAACAGAGGGGGTGGAATCAGGTATCAGTGGTGGACTCTTTCGTCCATTTCAATTTTGCATGTTTTCAAAACAAAAACAAGGCTTTGTTGGGCTACTGTATAAAACCTGGAACTCAATTCCTGACATTTTGAATTGAAAAAGCTTCCTGGATGGTAAGTGAAACATCTTCAAACATGGAAACAAAGTCCAGTGGATTGTTTTTAATTTTCATTTTTTGGAATGACCTGGATGACTTAGAAATCTTCACCAGCATATTACAAAATCAAATGTCTAAATATTTTTGTGTACTGTGCCCTACAATAAAATATATATAAAAAAAGTTGAGTACATTTGAACCCAAAGCATGAGTTAGCACTTCCAGAATGTCATAGAAATATTTTGCATGTAAAAAGACACATTTACGAAACATTTGTGCAAAACTATTTTATTTACAAAAACAAAAATGGCACATTGTGACAGCAGGGCAGCCATATACATGCAGAGCTCACATCGATGCTACGCTAGCATCGATCTACAGCATCCCCATCTGTGATGACACTTTAAAAGCACAACATAGGGCTGAGAACATTAAGATAAAACAACCGTAACTCATAATAGCACCCCTCCCCATCACATGACTTGTTCTAAGCACTTTTTTTTATTATTTTTTAAACTCAGCATCAGATGCAAAGACTGGTCCCCTATGTAGCTACATGCTGTCATCTTCAATGTACACGCCCCTCCACCACTGCACATAATGATTTATTCATGACAGCTGGGACCCCAGCAGAGGACTGCATGGCATCGCCAGCTGCACCTTTAAACTCTGGTGCAAACCTGGACGACTTCTCTTCAGTCCGAAAATCTTGATCCAAATGTCATGAATGAATCACTGGCCGGTAAACGAGTGCATCTGACGTCTGACGCCGGAAACAGTAAAGTTTGCTTTAACGAGGCCATGCATGCAGTTCCTTAGCATTCTGTTTGAACATATTGACCTTAAATAAGGAAGCAGAGCACTAAACCAAAAAATTCCTTCCTGATTAGATCATTGAAATCTTTAAACATTAAGATGGAATCAATTATTCACCATCAGAGGTGACATTCTCTCCCCGTGCCAGACAAACATATATATATGTATATATATACACACCTACAGCTACAGGAATAAACTCTTCCAATCATCTGAGGAACCCTGAACGTTACACCAAAGCATTTGAAATGTGAGTGTTGTAGCTTCTGCTTCTCGCCCGTCTTCAACCAGTCGTACTGTACAAAGGGGCATCAGACTAATCAACACACTCTGGTATCTTATATGGAACTAAAAAAAAAGGAAGAGGGTAAACAAAAGAGTCACTGGGGATGGGTAGGTGGGCGGGCAGCGGGGACTGGATAAGAAAATACTGAGAGAAAAAAAATGAAACCATCAGCCAGCCTCTTCAGTGGCTGTTTGGGTCTGGGCTATTGTGGAGCAGAATGAGTGGTGATAGTTGGGGTGGGGGGGTAGGTAGTGTTACAACTCTGGGGATGGGCTGGAGTGGGGCTATGAGGTGCTGAAGGGGCCTGGAGGGACGCATGTGGATCAGCCTGCCAGCTTACTGGCCACCAGAGAGGGTTTCCTTTGGGGCAGGTCCTGGGGGGTGGGGATGTGGTCCCCTGTGATCTCCGTCTTCTCTGGCGCTGCCGTTGGCAGCGTTTTGTTCTTTATCTTGGCTTTGGCCATGTTGTAGTCGCCTGAGTCAAAATACTTTTGCTGCAGAGAGAGAAAATTCAGGATAATTAACAAATGAAACTTTTTTGGAGGAAATAACCGCAAATATTCTTCTAAACATTCATATATATTTCCCCTCAACCTTTATACACATTTTACCATCTTATAAATAAACATTTTGCTTTTATTATGGGATTTTACACAACAAAGAAGAAGCCCGTAACTAACTGTTGTATTTAGCCGGACTTTAAATTCCGGTTCATCTGCCAGTGGGGACGACCAAATAAAAGCAAATATCTAAAATAATTTTTTTTTTACCTTTGATGTCAGTTTTAACGAAAGAAATGAGAGAAAAAGATAAAATGATGATCAATCAGATGTGTTATGGAAATAATCAGAGGCTCTCGAAGCGGCTCATTTCTCAGGTTAAAACAAACTTTTAACCTCTAAAGCGTTTACATAAAATAACTCAGAAAGCATGAAAATTACACTGGTAAAATGTTTACCAATATAGACATATTAGACATCGTTGGAAAGCTTAGATTCACCACGATTCAACCACCAAGTTCATTTTATGGACACTCCAGCACCAAAGCACAATTAACACAGATATAGCAGCATGTCAAAATGTAGCATGACAAAGCAGCCACAACAAGCAGGCATGTCATTATTACTGCTGTTCAAAAAAGACCTATTATTCTGGAGGATTAAAAAAACAACTTTGAGTCATGTTTGAACAGATGCAGCTTGGGTATTTTACTCAATTTTCATGTATGTATGTATGTATATATATATATATATATATATATACACACACTGGTACTGACCGGTACATACACCGGTATATATATTCAGAAAAATAGAAGGTGTTAGCTCCATTTGGGTATGCATAATAGGCGATTTTCCAAGAAATGAGGCGGATATTAAGAGGTTAAAAGAACCAGCGTGTAATCATCATACTTTCAATTAAGCCCAAGTTGTATTACAAATCCTTTTCTTTTTAAAGGTGAAATATTCTAACTTTGACGGTTAGGCAAAATGATCATTCACAGAATGCTTGAAAACATTAGTAGAGTAATAATCTGTGCAGTGTTTCACTTGGTAAATCGAATGACTAATTTAACCTTTTCGATAATCTTCCAATTCATTGATTATGGCTGCACCTTGATATCATTAGGGATGCTCCGATCAGGATTTATGCTGCCGATCCCGATATCGATCGCCGTGAGGGCCGATCACAGCTGATACCTGCCGATCACACTGACTGGATGTCATGTTTTGATTTAGGTATAAATGCTACAACTAGCTATTTGATCTGTGGAAACTGAATAATTAAATCACCTTATTTAGACAAGGAGGCCAGTATTTAGTCAAAAGGTCTTAAGAAAATCCTGCTAACAGTTTTAATTTAATTGATAGATATCAAATAATATCAAGAAAAAAAAAACATTCAAAGTCAAATTCAAGTCTTAATACGTATATATTCAAACTCTTTTTTTTAAACCATCCTGCAGCTTTAAGGAGAGGTTTGCTGTGAAACTCCACTGTCTGCTTGATCCGGAACGTCTCCATTTACACGTGAGGAGAGTCGCTGGAACCCAAAGATGCTGATCCTTTATCTGGATTATTCAATCATTTTTCGCTTTATTTTTCTTTCAGAACGTCATGTAGGGGCTGATTTACCTGCCATATTTTTTCCCCCTGTAGTGTACCTTGATAACCAATAATACTGCATCAAGTGCTTGTTTTTAAATGTGTCATACTTGATGTATTGATGTATGTCTTTTGATATGTTTTACCTCCAAGGAATTTTTGCACTGCTCTCTGGGGAGGATTGGTGGCCTAGTTGTCAGAGCAGTGCGCTTTTGCTATGAGAAGGTTACAAGTACCTGGTTTGATCCCCATAGCCTGCCACTCTGGGTCCTTGATTAAGACCCTTAACCCCCACGCTGCTTCCCGGGCGCCACACAGTGGCAGCCCACGGCTCCCCAAGGGGATGGGTTAAATGCAGAGAGTGAATTTCTCCAGTGTGAGCTCAATAAAGTTAAATTATTATTATTAAATGCAAACTTCACATTATTCTCGAAGCTTTTCACATAACATGCTCAGGATTTGCTGCGGCTGCGCAGAGTGAATGCAAGAGGGAGATACGCTGCAGGATGACAAGAGATACTGGTGGTCAGTTTTTGTGATCGGTAGCATAAGCCACTGATTATCAATCAGCCCTTTTCATGAAAATCATCAATGATCGGTGGCTGATCAATCGGCTAAGCACTACATATTATAGTTCAGTAAGAGAAACTGGTAGATTTAGAAAACAATGGATCATATATCATCAACATAATCCTGATCTGAGGAACTGAAATGAAGACAAACATGACTGGCTGGATGACACTGATTTGCTTTTCTGTTTTGCAGAAAGAGCCAGAAAACAAACTTACCCCTTTCTGCAAGCGTTTGCGGAGAAAATCCGAACCTCCAGGCTTATGTCCCAGGTTGGGAAACCTGGCCTTCAGTTTAGCCTCCTCTGCTTTCTCTGGGCTGATCACCTTGTCTTGTGTCTCCTAAAAAAAAACAAAGGAAAGAAGAAAAAAAATATTTAATGTTAGGTCATCAAGAAGTTCTTGCTGATCAGTGCACTTTTTGTTTATTTTATAAAATAGAATGCAAATAGAAGAACGACAGCTGTCCAAGATAGATGGAGTTCTGGTAGAAATCTAAAAATACGATGATCCAAATTGTGGCCAAACACCCACCCCCCACATGGGTGTCACGTGACTCCTAGTGTTAAAAGATTCAGGGTGCAAATAGGGATCAGGTGCGGTAAATCTGGAGATGTGGCTCTAACTCTCTCCTGCTGGTCACTGGTACTTCAACATGACTGCTAATGGCAAAAAAAAAAATTAAATATTAGAGGATATAAAAAAAAAAAATGTAGCTTTCCATAAAGATAGAGCCACCAGCTGATTAATAGGACAGTTTCCACTCAGAGCAGCTCTAATATAGCAAACAAAAGTAAGACTGGTTTAATAAAAATGCACTTTTTATGCCTACATTTAAATTAGCTTTTTGATGATGGAGTTTTTATTTGCCAGGTTTTGCTCTAAAATAGGAGAAGTATAATTTGACAGTGAAATAAACTAGAAGGCTAATATTCTATTTGAACAGAACAGAACAAACGATGTTTTTGTAATCCGTGACCATTTTCTGTGCAGAGGCAGTTTGCACTGCCTCTACCAAAAAAGGGCTGAGCTTTTCATATATCATTTTTTAGCTCATCCTTTTTATTATAATGGTACAAAAAGGAATTAATTATTTCAAAACATTTTTAAATGCATGCATTTTATTCATAAAATAAGCTGAGGTGCTCAAGTGAAAAATCCGTTGAACGTCTTAATTTCATTTATCCAGTTATTTGATTAAGCGTCAAAATAATCAAAATACTGTATCACCACTAGGGCTGAAAGAATGAATCTAATTAATCGTGATTAATTGATTATTTACATAATTGTCAACTAATTTAGTAATCAATTAATCATTAACTGGAGTATAGATTTTAAAACATGCCTGTAGCTGACAGAGCGTGCCACTAGGAGCAGAAATTATATCAACATTGTAAAAAATTATGTTAACATTTCACTTTGATTTTGTAAAAAAAAAAAAATCTTCTTTAAGGAAACTTTTGCTATCTGATCATTAATCGAAAAAATCATCGACCGATTAATTGATCTGCAAAATAATCAGTAGTTGCAGCCCCAATCTCCACAGGCTTTTCCTATTAAAGGGAAGTTTTCATCTCCACTGTCGCTACATGCATGCTCAGTATGACCAGAAAAGTCAATGACAAACTAAAGTGTCTTGCCTCCAGTGGTCTGAGCGTCATGGTTTAGGACCTCATGATTGCCGGCGGCTGCAGAGAGCTACAGAGTTCACACAGAACCAGAAATAACAACATCTACTGTGACAAACTGTGGCAGAGCATGATCCCATCCCTTTGGAAGCTGGGCCCCAGGGTAGGATTACAACACAACGAGTCCAGACTTTCCTCCAAGATGATTACAGCCTTGCTAAAGAAACTGAAGGGAAAGGTGTTGGACTGGACCAAAAAAACAAAACCCTACTAAGCCTCTGTACGGCAGCCTTACATAGACGGTGCAGGAAGTGCAAGGTCTACAACCTCCACCTGCTGCATGACATCATGATAGAGTGGAGGAGGACTCTAGCGGCAGCCTGGGAAGCTCTGGTGAACCCCACACCTAAGACAGAAGAGCGCTGCTGGAAAACAACAGCGGCCACACAAAATATGGAAAGCTTTGGCACTATTTGGACAATTTTCAATTGAATTTGGGGTTCACCCACTTTTGTTGGCAGTGGTATAAACAGTAATGGCTGTGTTTTCAGTTGTTTAAGGGGGGAGAAAATGTACCTTGTTATACAAGCTCAACACTGACCACTTTATATCATACTGTCATATCTTCAGTTCTTTCCCATGAAAGGATATAAATATTTACAAAACACTCTAAAGCAACAATATCTGTTATATATTTCCCCTCCTACATGTTTAAATATTGATTTTAGAATATAATGTGGTATGTATAATTTGATATATATACTAATTTATATAGAGTATATATAGTTTAGTATATTACTTAGTATATCATGAATAAAAGCTTTTTCCTCAAAACAATTATTAAAAAAAGGGGGGGAAAAAAAAACAGAATATCAAAGGTTGTTGCAGAATAAAAGTCTTATTTTTACTGAAAATGTACAGATAGTATAAAAATAATTGTTATTGCAGCAGGTCTGTTGGATGATGGATGGCGTCTTCTAGGCTTTACATTTTTCAGATTTAGAGCTTTGGGGTCAACTTTAGGGAAAAAAAGGGGGCTCAGAAATCACGCAGAGGCTGCTGATTTCCTTCTGGACAGGTGGGTTTAAGTCGACCTGGCAAGCAGTACAGAACGAGAGCTGGCGAACGCACCACTTACTGGGCGGGAGAAGTTCAAGCCATTTCCTGACAATAGCTTTAATTAAAATTAAGTTTAATGGCACACTGTTCACAGACACTTTTCTGCTGGTAATAAAAAAGGCAAGAAAAAAACAACCATATTATCCAATTTGTATACTATCTGGTCTAATTTCAGATTTTTATCATTTTAGATTTATAAATGTCCACCATGGTGCTCTTCCTCTGCAAAACGATACACAATTAATCTCTACTATTACAACATCATAAAACTTGCATCTGTTATAATCATCTTCGTCATATTACCTAAATTACTTCAGACATGCACAAATCGATTTCTCTGATTTTAAACTTAAATTTGAAAATCTATAGATCCCGATACTTTTCGGACAGAAGAGCTTAGTTTTCTTTAATATTTTCATGTTTATTGTTGATTTTGAAAAAGCCACAAACTCCTTTCTACAAACAGGTGTGGTGTACGTTCAGTATGTTACAAAAGAAGGTAATAAAAACACTTGATCATATTAACAGGATATCTGAAATTCTTAAACAAATATGCACCTTTATGGGTTGAAATTGACTGCATTGTTTAAATCAAATATAGATGCTCACACAGGGGTAGAGCTTTCTGCTGTCTAACCGGACTTAAATGATAGAAATAGACTGAATAGATCTGTTTCTTTGGATTTGGGACACATTTACGCTGATATCCCCTCTAAAAATTTTCAACAGGACACATATATTAATATCTACAGAAGAGGATTAGGGCCACTAAAAAAAAAATGTACTGATTATTAAATATTATTTTAATTTAATGTGGGGGGAAAAAAAGTCTGAATTCTGACTTTTTTCTCAGAATTCTGACTTTAAGCTCAGAATTTTGGATCTTAATGTAGATGGGCACCATGAAGGAAGAGATGTGGAGCACTCAGCTTCACTGACTTAAAGATGTGAGTTGTTTGAGAGGGCCAGTAACACATTGGTGAAAAATTACGGAGTTGGGCGACTTTTTATGTGCCTGAGGGGTCCCCGGTGATGCTATTTCATTAATAGAAGAGCAGAAGGTGATTAAAACAAGAGAGCTAGTTTAGTCTTTAAAAAAGACATGGCTATGGCTTGATGTTTGTTAGCTGTCAGAATTCAGAGGAGAAAAAAAGCCAGAATCCTGAGATTAAAGTCAGAATCCTGAGATTAAAGTCAGAATCCTGAGATTAAAGTCAGAATCCTGAGTTTAAAGTCAGAATTCTGACTTTTCTCCTCATATTATACTGAAATAAAATTTAAAAATCTTTTTTTATTCTTTCAGTGACCCTAATCCTATTCCGTAAATATCAAATTGTATATGTTAAGCAACTTATCACCAAATCAAATTCCTCGTTTTTGACAAAGTTTATTCTGATATTAATTTCTACAGAGGCAAACTTGACCTTTAGGCTAATTGAAAGACTTGAATAAACACAGAATTAGAGAATTTAAAATACTGGAACTTTGTTCTTATTTAAAATTTAATTCAGTTCCTTTATTGAGATTTGACATTTCTTAACATTAAAGTTTGACAAAAAAGTATTCCATTGGTGCCTGTAAATGAAGCAAATGCATTCATCTGCTAAGAGAACAAGGACATGAAAAGCCAACGAGATGCTCCAAATTAGCATCGATGTGAAATGATTTTGTAGCACAACAGAAACTGTTCACAGGGAGTTTTGACAGAGTTCTGTTTAGGCGAATCAACAGAAGCGTGATATTGGACATTTTCAGAAACAGAAAAGCACAAGGAAACGTGTGCTAGATGGCTACAAGCTAAGCTAGCATTAGCAGTTGGATCTGCTGCATGAGAATGCTCTGACGGTTAGCAGCTAGCTTTAGCCATCGCTCTCACCTGCATGGAAAGGATGGAAATTCATTCACACAGCAGTAATAAACCCCGGGGCATTTATTTTGTATTTAAACATTGCTATCATAAGTGAAAACGAGCCTTTGAGGGTTAGCCGTTAGCTCTGAGTGAAATGTCAACAATCATAAGCGCGCGGACAAGGAGCTAAATATTAGAAAAGTCAACGACGGGGCGCTGAAGCTTCAGCTCTGAAGCCCAAAGCTCACCGTGTCCTCCACCGGTGTCTCCTCCGCGGTTTGCGTTTCTTCGTTTTCCTCCGACATTTCTAAATCAACCTTCGGCTCGACCAAACAACTCCCCGGTAGGTTCACAATGGATCTCTGACTTTTCCTGTCTCTCCCACACCGTCAAAGGTCTGCTGAAAAGCTCGCTCCCGGTGTTATGCCCAAAAGTGCATGCCTGCCGAAATATGCATCTCCAGTCGCGGTAGCGCGCCTCGTTCTGTTGAACTGCATATCGACGAGGAAAACGGATTAAAATATGTTTAATGGAGCTTAGGTTTTTATATTAATAATATAAGAAAAAAAAGTTGTGGTTTTTTGGCAGATTCATTTACAAAAGTACGGATTTTTTGAACAACATTAAATCCAAAGATTTTGACCATGGTACGGCTGATTTATTTGTTGTGGTCTTTTGTTATTTACACACAACACTAAACCGTGATAGCCGACGTGAGTTTTGAGTTTGCAAAGCTTTCTCTTAAGTGGAAAATCAAACGCGCATCT